ATTTATTAAATGAAGTATAATATTACTGGGATTTTTAATTGGTATATAGTAATTATACTATTTAATTGTAATGCATATTATAAGGAAAAATGATATTGAGTTAATCCAGTAATTAGTAATATTATTATGGCTCTGGATAACTGACTGAGTTTTGTTGAATATGTTACTGCGGGTATTTTTAAGAAGAATATGAGAAACATGAAATTCATTTTGTAATACTAATGTTTATAATTGAATTTTGCTTTTGTGTTTTCAGATGAATCTCAGTCTCTTACACAGAGTCACAGATGAATGTTGACTGTTGTTGCAATTCACCTGCCATGGTATCACAGGAACCAACTTGGGGAGAAAGAAAGACTGTTGTGTGAAATTTTCTGCCAGAATGGTGAAAAAAATGTTTTTATGGCTAAGATACATCAAAGAAAACTAGATAAATTGTATGTTAAGCCAGTCCAATAACAATGATAATGCAATGGCATATGGGACTGATAACTTCAGGACAAATACATTGACAAGGCATGTGGTGGATTGTGATAATGAATTCATAATCCTTGATCAGTCAATCCAACTGCAGATGAACCCAAAGAAAGCTTTTAGAAAGGCATTGAAGAATGATACTAAAGCTGTTGATACTGCTGTAAAAGCATTCTATTTCATAGCAGAGAAGCATCTCACTTTTAACAAATACCAAAGCATGCTATCTCTCTTTCAAGATGTAAAAGCTGACAGTTTTGAACATCAACTATAAATGTTCTTATATTGCTGATAAATTTTTGGGTGCGATCAATGAAGTACTCTATAAAGAAACAAACAACAAACTGTAGTTTGCATCTGCTGCCTCACTGCTATGATAAAAACAATGCAACAAAAGTTTATTCTGTGGGCTTGTGTTATCAACATAAAGGAGGATGAACCAAAGGCAGTGACATTATACATTACAGGTTTACACTTTGAGCATTGCAATGGTGAAAGTATAACAAAGGCCACAAAATAACATGTTACAGAAAGAGGTATAGAAATGCAGAATGTGATAAGGTAGGAACAGGTGGAACTTCAGTGATGACTAGGCAGAAGAAAGGAATGACATTGTCTGGTGTCCTTTCAAGCAATTCACTTTTCCAGCTCTCTCATATTTGCAGAAAACACTGACAAATCTCTTTCACTCTTTCAAGAGAATGGCTAAGAAGGTTCAGTTATTGAAAGAAATGCAGAGAGTGATTGATTTTCTAGTTCTCAAGGAAAGAAAGGTTCATGAAGCTAGATGTCTGTTTCTTTTGTTTTTTGTTAGGCTAAGCAGTTAGTCTATAGAAGTTTTCCAGTTCTCCTATGTTACTTTGATGGAATTAAGAAACAAAATGATTCAGCAGAGGAAGGTTTAACCAGTAAACTTGCATCTAGGAAATTTAGTTACAATACCGGCTTGAGCTTGATGTTTTAGCTCCAGTGATGATTCTGTCTCAACAATTTCAAAAACAAAATCTTAATCCTTCCATAGTACAGTTACATGTTGATGCTTGTATATCTACTCTGCAGAAGCCATGAGATGGTGATCAGTTAAAAAGAACCCACCTGCATACTTTGCAGACAGATTTTGATAACCAGAAGAGCACCTAAAAGAGGTTTAAAATTACCATCCATAGAAAGATCAGTCTCATCCCTTTTGGAGAATTTTATTATCAAACTTGTTATATGTCTGAATTCATGATTTTCACAAATTGATATGTTTAGTGCTTTTAGTCTTCTTCTCTTTCTAGGCAGAGATAAGCTGTAGAGTTGGGAATGTGTGAAAAGATCAAGATTCTAATTAATCACTATGGAACAGCCAAGGAATATTTATAGATGATGGTGGTTAAAAACAGGTGAAAACAGTGGAAGAAATCAGGCTTTAATGTGCTTGCTGAAATGTTCTCCACTGACTACATGGATGCATTGTTGAAACTGATCATTAAGCAGTTTAAGTAATTTAACTTTGATATATCCCACCAACACTGCAGACTGTGGAAGGTCCTTCAATGTACAGAATTAGATCACAAAGAACAGGAGGACAGCAATCTCACTAAATAAATGTGACACTTTTGAGAGTGTATCTGTGGGGCTCAAAATCCAGGACATACTTACATGTTTTGCCAATATCTGACAACAGAAGAAAACAGTGTGATCATCTCAAAAAAGTTAACAAGTAACACTGAACACCATTCTTCATGTGTACTCACAATTACTGAGTTCATGTAAACTGTCTTTTTAAGTTATTCTTATCAGTTGTTGTTGTTAAGAAACATTATAAAACTGACTGAAAGATAGTTAGTCATTGTTTACATTCATTCACTGAGTTCATGCATACTTTGAAATACAGCACTCTTGAGAATGATTACTGTGTTTATTATTATATATTGTGCAAATGTGTCTGCCTTATGATCATGATTTTTTCACAACTTTAGCTTAACTAATTTTATAACCCTGACAGTGACCCATAGTTTTTGAAACACTGACCCCTCACTTTTTCATGAGTGTTCATCTGGCCCACAATATTTTTGTACAGTCTGAAGCACTGTAGGAGTCATCTTTAGTTAACCTAAGACAATTTTAATTTTTCTAACATGGTGGTTGACATTTGGAATGGGTTGTCTTCAGATATGGTGGATGATGTAAATTTAAGAGGATTTAAGGAAAAACATAAATATTTAAATCATAAGGGCTGGCTTTGATACTTTTTTTTTATGTTTAGTGAACGGAATAGCCTAGATGTACCAACAAGTATCTGTATCCTTAAATTTTATGTTATAATTTATATTATGATAACCCACATACATTACCTTACTTAAAGTTATTATAATTAAAATCAATCTTAGCTAATAATTCATATTTTAATAGTATACCAGTTTTAAGTTCTTAATTATACGAGGGAATATTTTAAAAAATACAGAATTTCCACTAGTCTGACCCACATGACACATTTTATCTTAACATATCATCATCCCTATTTTATCCATCACCCCTCGAAAATGTACAAAATTAAACATAAATTACTGTCTATAAAATCATTATTTCTCAGACAAACCATAATTTTTATAGTCTTCAATTTTGTTTGGTTACAGAGCTATCGAATATAAAATCAGACCCCTCCTGCCACACCTACCTGTCAAATCCTTTCTTTAACAATTCGTTGATAGTTCTCTCATACATATCATTGTATATTACCTATAAACAATAGAAAGTCAAGCTTTTCATCTATCAAATGATGTATTGTATAATGTTGTGTTCTGAACAGATAATCATCAATTTTACTCACAGTACAAGATTCATTCCTGAGGGAAAGTTAACGACTAGCTTGTATGAATTTGTAATAGTTCTTGTCGCATAGTTAGAAAGCCAGGAAAATTTTGAGAGGTAAGTGAATTTATGTACCTTTTGCATGTTAT